CACAATGTAATGGATATCTCCAGTTCCACAATGTAATGGATATCTCCAGTTCCACAATGTAATGGATATCTCCAGTTCTACAATGTAATGGATATCTCCAGTTCCACAATGTAATGGATATCTCCAGTTCCACAATGTAATGGATATCTCCAGTTCCACAATGATTCTCCCAACAAAGAAGGATCATCTTGTCATTCAGAATTTTAACTTATTACAGAACTCTTCATATTTGGGGGAGGTGTCACAGCGCTAGCTGAACCACATATTCCAGGATTAGATGTACCTAAAAACGTATCGGCACCATATGAGTGGCGACTTGTTCCTGGTGGCTTCATTCCGGAAGACAGCTTCCCGCTGTTACTGACAATGCAGTTGAGTCAGGTTCTGATGATATGAATCCTCATATGACACGATCCTATCAAAACGGATTCATTTTCACTGCTGAGAGCTCCTCTGCTATAGACTTGAGAAAGGATGTGCCACTGATAACTTTTGTAGTGGCAATCAGGTAGTCTGTCCCTCCTACAGACGAAGAAGAAGAAACAATGTCAGGACAAATAAAGTCTTATATATGTCTGGAAATATTTTACAGATTTTTTTTTTTACAAATTTGCCATGCATAGTAAGAGGGTATTTATAAAAGTAAGGGCAGTATATATAAATTACTGGCACTCAGAGTGTTATACAAATGTGTTACATTTATTAAAGGGCGTTATACAAATGTGTTACATTTATTTAAGGGTGTTATACAAATGTGTTACATTTATTAACTTAACAATGGACAAAGAAGACAGTCTTTGTATTACATATACATGTTTGGAGACAGATTTGATAGAACAATTATTGTTACCACACAAGATCAATGCAAGTTTGAATAATGAATTACATACCATCAGCTTGTTTAACAAGTTAAAAATGTGAAACAAAACATCAACAAGAAGTTAATATAACCAATAAGACTTGATTAGCAAGCAGCAATGTAAACCAATGTCATGCAAAGCTTGTACAGCTGCGACAAACTCAAAACATGATGACAATTAGATGTCATCGATCATACATTGGTGACAGCCATATTTGTCCTGAATCTCAGTTGATTCCTCGAAGGGCATTGATGAGGCGGACAGGCTTGGGGCATTCTATGACACTGTCCATGAATTTACGGCTATGAAGGATGCGTGTGGTAGCCACAATGTAGTCGGTCCCACCTGTAATGGATCCGGACACGCCCATGAAATAGACGACATAGCTCTGCCAGTTCATGTGAGTGCACCATGTTGGAGCCTGGATTTCTTGGTTGGTGTGATGGGATCCACAAATCAGGTAGGTCACGGAGAGAGTAGGACAAATGTAGGATGGGACAGGGATATTGTGACACTAGAGAGGACATGGAGGTTAGAGATAGGACATAGAGTTTTTTCATGAGAGGAAATAGGACATGGATAAAGTGCCAGGAGATAAGACATCTAAGGCAAGGTGAAGTATTTAGGACTTGGTAATTGCAGTGTTTCACAAGTATGCTTCACTTCGCTTCATGAAAACCTGGTGTCACAGGATTAAAGCTTCTAAGAAATCCACAAAAACTAAAATCAGGAGAGGAAAAAGGTCGTGCAAAGCTGTTCTCCTGCAAGACATATATATCTATAGTGATAAAGGAAGAAATGCACAAACAACAAGCCAAATGGTTAAAGTGAAAATAGCATAAGCATATTTCTGCAGTAAATTAGAGAGGAAAGCTGTTTCCATCACAATGCAGATACTAATTGTATAATAATACTACATATACCAGTGCTAGATTGTTATACAGAGACACACCTGATAAATTTGGATACAAAAATATTTAAGAATGATTGTTAGAATAGTATATGATACAGGAAAGTTTGTACATTAACATCAAAACATGCAAAAACATGCACCAGTCCAAACAAACATGGATGTTCACATGCATTTATGATACAAATTCAAGATGGGTTCCCAATGATTTTAGCTGATTGGGTTTTCATGAAGTTAAAATCAAGAACACAATTATTTTGAAAAAGTCCATTAAGTTTTCAAACTAAGTCTGATAATCCTATAGGAAATTAATAATTTTGCATCGGGAAAATTCTCCAGAAACAGTTTTTCGTTGCTTGAAATGAGAGGTCAAAATGTAGGTCATGGTGACCTAGTTTTTCTTAATGATACTTTGCCTCCCCTAGATGTAATCATGTACTGGGCTGTTGATCCTACATGAAATGGTAAAGGAAAACACTTCAATTTGTTTTGCCTTATTTGGGACCAGAGGTCAAATCCACCCTCTCAAATGTAACCGTGTACCAAGTTTGATAATCCTATATGAAATAATAGAGGATAAATGCTTATGAAGCTTTGACCGTAATTGAAGTCAGAAAACAAAATATTTATTTTAGTGACTTTGTATTTGACAATTTCTCTTTCTGAGATGTTCCCACATACCAAATGTTCTGGAAACATTCTTTTCTTGTTTGAGGTCAGAGGTCAAAATATTACTTGATTTAAACATATTTTATTGCAGAAATTTGCAAATGGATTAGGCACAAGTTATTCCAACTTATGAAGTGACCTTGTTTAGAAAGTAGCTTTTACCAAGTTTCATGTTCCTACATGAAATATCATTGGATAAAACGCTATAGAAGCTATGGGATACATGCATGACATTCATCCTGTACATGCATGCATGTATGCACAGGATGCATAATAGATGTGTAAACATCCTGACCTTGTTCAAGCTGGGGTAGAATAATTTACAAAACCAGCAGACTAATTTGAAGTGACAAACTTCAATGTTTCAACTCCATTTGGGTAGGAAGGTGAGATATCAAACTTTTGTTCTAAATACATTAGCAACAGAATCAGCATGGGAACCCATCCTTGTTTAACTCAGAATTCAGTTTGATGTTAATCAAATCCACAAAGAACACTAACCATCGTCTTGCTGGGCCAGGAACCTCAATGCTGCTATTTCTGCATACGTGACCCCTCCCAGGAAGAACACAAGAGTGACCTTCTGCTCCCCAGTACTGGAATGCGTAGATCCTATGGAACTCCCTGGGTAAATAAACAAATGGTTTGGGCTACCTTAATAGGACTTGCATTTACCGGTACATTCCAATATATTAATACCATTACATTTTTACCAGTGAAATACAAGGTATTACAGTAAAATTGAAATATCTGATTCATCAAATTCATCAAGAAACCAAGAATATCCTTTATATGATCTATATATCATATTCAATAAAATCAATTCTTATTTCCCTTCAGACAATACTTTTTTTTTTAAATGTTTTAGACCTAAATGCATTTTTTTTTCTGATTGAAGAATTTCTGTACAAATTTAAATTTGAAGTAACAAAACCTACGTCGTTTGCGGAGAGCGACAGGAATCTGTTGTATCTCCTCCACGGTGGGGCCAGGAAGGAGGTTGAGCACTTCGGTGATACTTCGCCAGCCTGGTCGTGCATAATACTGTACCAGTCTGGCACTGAGGGGAGCAAACCCACTGTATACATACGCTATATCATGTGGATTCTGTAATAATAATGGGTTACATGTCAGTCTCCCCTTATATACGTGTACAAACATGTCAGTCTCCCCTTATATACGTGTACAAACATGTCAGTCTCCCCTTATATACGTGTACAAACATGTCAGTCTCCCCTTATATACGTGTACAAACATGTCAGTCTCCCCTTATATACGTGTACAAACATGTCAGTCTCCCCTTATATACGTGTACAAACATGTCAGTCTCCCCTTATATACGTGTACAAACATGTCAGTCTCCCCTTATATACGTGTACAAACATGTCAGTCTCCCCTTATATACGTGTACAAACATGTCAGTCTCCCCTTATATACGTGTACAAACATGTCAGTCTCCCCTTATATACGTGTACAAACATGTCAGTCTCCCCTTATATACGTGTACAAACATGTCAGTCTCCCCTTATATACGTGTACAAACATGTCAGTCTCCCCTTATATACGTGTACAAAAACATCACACATGCATATCATGTACTTGCATGTACATATACCAGACAGCAATGAGTACATGTACCAGTATATAAGATCATTACTTGGTAAGGCTTATGACACATGGATAGTTCACTTTATCTCATCATCTTTTACAAATATAAAAATCAAAATGCTGACGATCATTACTATTCACTATTCGATACAGCATATCATTTGATAGGCAAAACATCCCAGGTCGGGTGACATAAGAAGTATACAATTTTGTGACATCGTTGTACAGGTAAACAATACAAATCACTCACTCAGTCGTAGCTTGACAAAGGGACCAGTCAGTCTTGAAACATTGCAACACGTTTAATATGTACATTGTTTGTGATATTAGATTATTACTAATGTTAAAGTATGTCTTTACACTGTGCCCTGTAGTAATCTGACAGCTAGCTGATACCACTTGTAGGAACAATTTCAGTTGTGAAAGTTCTCAGGCAAAACAAAATTACATTTTATGGAGAAATCTGAGGTTTGAGGATATCTCAATACAGTAGTTGACATGTTTCCTACATGTGAAGTCTGCTGTGATCTAGTTAACACTTGCTCAATGAATTGCAGTATGTATGTGTTAAGTATTTAAGTTAATAATTGATCAACAGATTTTGGTAACAGGTTTTTATGTGGTAAGTACTTAGTCAAGCATTGATCAACAGATTTTGGTAACAGGTTTGTGACATATGAAAGTGTTCTAGTCAACAGGTGTTTATGTGGTAAATATTCCAATTAATACTCAATTTACAAAGTATCGTATAAATGTGGTAAGTATTCTGGTAAACACTTGATCAAACAAGTCTGGTATGTACACATTGATTATTTTACAAAAAAGGTCTCATTCACAGCATACCTGCTCATTGACATCGTCAACTATTAGCCGCATGGATTTCCTTATGGCTGGGTATGATCTGTTTCCATGGGGACGTAGCAGTCCAGCTTTTTCTATGTTCATAAGCGTAACCATGTGCTCATAACCATATGTCTGAAAACAAAACCATTTAACCATATGTTTGAACACAAAACCATTTAACCATATGTCTTAACCATATGTTCAAACACAAAACCATTTAACCATATGTTTGAAAACAAAACCATTTAACCATGTGTTCGAAAACAAAAAACTGTAACAAAGTTCAGCAGACTAGATCACCTCTTATCTTTTTTTCAAGTTTTTGTTTTTAAATTGATGACGATGTCACGAGTTATTAGCATTTCGTTTTAGATACAAATTTCAGACAAGTATTAACAGACTTTAAGAAGCTACCTGTATAATTTCTCGTTTGTAGTGGTCCAGGACTTTAGGCTTGAGTCCGTTATTACAGAAGGACTGTATACACACCAGTCGTAGTACCTGTAACACAAGGATAAAAGTCTTATATATGTAACAGAGGTTATTTTGTCCTCTGGTTTACTAGTCTTACACTTTACCGAATGAGATAAAGAGAAATTCTCCCTAGCTGAGTGAGTGGATAGTGGCTAGTATTTTACCAGGGTGACATATAAAACCAGGAAAACTTTCATTCACAATAACAGACAGTCTGATACACGCCTATCAGCCTTACAGAGTACATCCTGTACCCTTTATAATACCTAACCTTATTGTTCATTAGACAGTCTGATACACGCCTATCTGCCTTACAGAGTACATCCTGTACTCGTTATAATACCTAACCTTATTGATCGTTAGACAGTCTGATACACACCTATCTGCCTTACAGAGTAAATTCTGTACCCTTTATAATACCTAACCTTATTGATCATTAGACAGTCTGATACACGCCTATCTGCCTTACAGAGTACATCCTGTACCCTTTATAATACCTAACCTTATTGATCGTTAGACAGTCTGATACACGCCTATCTGCCTTACAGAGTACATCCTGTACTTGTTATAATACCTAACCTTATTGATCATTAGACAGTCTGATACACGCCTATCTGCCTTACAGAGTACATCCTGTACTTGTTATAATACCTAACCTTATTGATCATTAGACAGTCTGATACACGCCTATCTGCCTTACAGAGTACATCCTGTACTTGTTATAATACCTAACCTTATTGATCATTAGACAGTCTGATACACGCCTATCTGCCTTACAGAGTACATCCTGTACTTGTTATAATACCTAACCTTATTGATCATTAGACAGTCTGATACACGCCTATCTGCCTTACAGAGTACATCCTGTACTTGTTATAATACCTAACCTTATTGATCATTAGACAGTCTGGTACACGCCTATCTGCCTTACAGAGTACATCCTGTACTTGTTATAATACCTAACCTTATTGATCGTTAGACAGTCTGATACACACCTATCAGCCTTACAGAGTACATCCTGTACTCGTTATAATACCTAACCTTATTGATTGGCTCCTGTCTACCCATACAGTCCTCTATATACGGATGGATCTTGTCAGTATCCACACCATTGATAAATTCTGTAAATGAAGAAAACAATATGATTGAGCTGATTAATTTTTTTCAGATTAATTACATCTCCAGCACAAACGCAGGCATACACACATAGGGAGATATTAGCCAGGTGGCATAGAACTAGTAGTTAGCGCCTGATAGCAAATTCCTCAAAAATTGTATTGATTAATGTATATGCTAATTGTATTAATTGTATATCTATATACTGTAAAGCACTTTAGAGTGGTTTATGCTAGCTAGATAGGGCGCTATATCAAATGTTGTATATTTATTAATACTAAAACATTATGACAATCAGATAAGCCAAACACATTTTTATATAAAACTTGCTGCTTGACAAGAAAGTAATTGGTATCTGATACATGTTAGTTACAGAATTCCAGAGCAGTAAAACTGATAAAATCTGTAATTTGAAGAGACAAGATAAAGAGTAAAATCAGATATACCGCGGTACTAGAAAGCAGCGAGTGCTGGAGTTAAGTGTTCCCTAGTGTAATACATGTATAAGGGAGCTACCTTGTTGACAGCGTAATGAGTCCATAAACTCATCCGTATCCGTGGCCTCCTTCACCAACTCAGCAATGGACGTGTCTGTAACAGCAGAACAGTAATAACAATAATGAAAACATCAGATTTACTATTTTAGAGCCATTGAAGGTGTTTGATGCCATAAAATTCATACGTTGGAGCAGTTTGCTAGGATTTCTAATATATTTAGAATACCGCCTGTAATGTTCTCAAGATTTTTTTTTTATTTCAATTTAATTTAATTGAATATGAACTGTCTTTTATCTTGTTGGCCCAGATGTAAGTGAGCAGGGTGTCTTAATGTAGGAGCAAACCTGTGTGGTCAAGCAAGTGACCAGATACTTTTTCATTTCTGATCAGGGAACCTGCATCCTCGATATCCAGGGGTTATGCTCACTTTCGCTCTCTACACCCAGGAATATGTCATAGCAAATCCAGGGGTGCAGAAAGTGAGTGTAACCCCTGGATATCGAGGATTGGGAACCTGATAAGGTTGAATTAATTAGGGTGTCAATACTGATATGGGGTATTTGATTGATTCCTGTGAGTGTGATAACTTACGTGTGGAGAGTGATGCCCTGACTTGCTGTAAATGGGGAAGCTTAGATACAAACTGTTTCATCTCACTCACAGTTTTTGCAGTATGTCGCTCCTGATGAAACAATAAAAAAACACAATAGAGAGACAGCTTAACATAAAATCACGTGTTTGGTGCTGGTGAAATAATTCACACAACAAAACAGTTACATGTATATTCAATTTCTGGCTCCTGATGGGCACATGAGACAACCACAATATTCCAGGGGTTACGCTCACTTACGCTCTCTGCACCCCTGGAATATGTCATAGCAGTTGCCTAATGGTAAAATTGACTTACTTTGCAGTCAGGTATTGCTCCTCTGTAATCTTCAAAGAATCAGCCAAGCTTTTGGTTAGTTGTTTTTAACCAGAGACCAGTCAAATAGCTAGCCACGTGCCTTCAATTTTGCTATGACATATTCCAGGGGTGCAGAGAGTGAAAGTGAGCGTAACCCCTGAAGTATCAAGGATATTTAGAGGGCATTAATAAGAACCCAAGAGGACCTAAACATTAGTTTTCTATCAGTAGACACTTACATCAAATTCTGCCGTGATAACCTTTGCCTTTTTACTAACAATGGATCCTACAGCATTGAAGTTTTTGTCGCGGAGGTCAGCATACAGTTCGTCGAGAGAGTTGAGGATGACCTTTTTAGGCTCGGAGGAGACTCCCTGAGGATCTTCCTGTTGTTGATTTCCGGTCTGGAACTTTTCTGGGGGAAGTTTTACACTGGCTAAAAAGAAAGTTGAAATAAATCAATGGAACACAAAAAGTCAGTTTTCTTTTTTTGCATATTTAACATTCATTACCAAGTTTATTTTTTTTTATATCAAAGAAATTAATAATTAACTCTTCGTTATATAGTGATGATTTAGAATATTTACTGAGATATCAAGATTTTTTTTTATAAATCGCATCCATGAGCCCCTCATAGGTAAACTATGACGGGGCGAATTGACATTGCTTACTGTTGTTGATACCAAATATCTCGTCTATGAGCCCCTCATAGGTAAATTATGACGGGGAGAATTGACATTGCTTACTGTTGTTGATACCAAAGATCTCGTCTATGAGCCCCTCATAGGTAAACTATGACGGGGGGAATTGACATTGCTTACTGTTGTTGATACCAAACATCTCGTCTATGAGCCCCTCGTAGGTAAACTATGACAGGGAGAATTGACATTGCTTACTGTTGTTGATACCAAACATCTCGTCTATGAGCCCCTCATAGGTAAACTATGACAGGGAGAATTGACATTGCTTACTGTTGTTGATACCAAACATCTCGTCTATGAGCCCCTCATAGGTAAGCTGTGAGAGGAGGGGTGTTAGTAGATCCACATTACGATCAAGGATGAGCAGGTTATCTATTTGAGGTGTGATCTGTGGCTCACGACCACCAAGTTCTCTCCTCATACGCAGCATCATATCCACAATGTGCTGAATAAGGTGAAAACTCAAGATGATTACACAGTTGAATCTCTTATCTTAAAATAGGAAAATATATCATTCATCTTAGGCACAAAGTTTGAAGGAAAAAAATCCATTTTGTAGTACTGAAATAGTTTAAGATATTTTATGATGATATTGCATTAAATGCTCATTATTAAAACCTAGTACCAAACATTGTTCAGGACCAAATGATGAAGTGTAACACCAATTACCATGTTTAATTTCAACCTGAAAGGCTCTGATGTTCTACAGTTGTCAATGACAGGCTCAATTAATGAGAGATTATGGTCACCATCATAAACTGATATACCAAACAAATTGAAATTGCCTGCACAAGACCATATAAGGAAAATTTGAAAATATTTTTTTCTTAACACTAAACCTAAAAAGAGTTAAGAGTTAAAGTTTACATCAATAGTTTCAGTGGTAGCATTTACCTTGGCACAGTCTCCTTTGCCACAGATGTTAGGTATGATACCATACAGAGCTTGTAAAGTCATTAGGGACTGTGCTGCGTAGTGCATTGATGTAAAGTCGTTCTCCAGGTAACACTCCTGTAGCAACACAGATATAGCAATCAGTCAAATGGTAGCAACACAAATATAGCAATCAGTCAAATGGTAGCAACACAAATATGGCAATCAGTCAAATCATACCAACACAAATACAGCAATAGAGGTCAAATCCTAGCAACACAAATACAGCAATCAGTCAAATCATAGCAACCCAAATACAGCAATAGAGGTCAAATCGTAGCAACACAAAAACAGCAATAGAAGTCAAATCGTAGTAACACAAATATAGCAATAGAGGTCAAATTGTAGCAACACAAATATAGCAATAGAGGTCAAATTGTAGCAACACAAATATAGCAATAGAAATCAACTTTTAATTAACACAACTTTATATATGGCTCTCACTCCTGTGTAATACTCGTATTACACATTCATTCAATTTTGGCTTTAAATTCTAGGGGAATTCACCCCCAATCTCAACATAGTTTTATATTAGTGTGGGGATGCGGCTTCTCTTGTATCACAGGAGTCTAGCTGCTCTCATCATGACTTCTCTAGGAGTGTTCACAACCAGAGTCTAGTCACTTCTCTGGAGACATTTTCAGAGTCTAGCTGCTCACTTCTCTGGGCTGTGTAGGTGCTTCTCTGAAGACATTTTCAGAGTCTAGCTGCCTCTCTCAATATCCCCAGTCTAGCGTATTAAATATATGGTAATAAAATTGTTGGAGTGAGTAGCCCCTGATGCGCCAAATGTATAACTGTACGTAAATATGTTGCTAACAAGAGTAATAAACAGGTTAACTGTTTCTTGTGTGTTAGTTGTATATAAAATATGATTTATTGTAGTAACACAAATACATGTACAGTAATTAAGTTCAATTATAGCTATACAAATACTGGCAGGGAGGTAAACATGTATCATCACAAATCACTGTAGTAATGTAGGTCAAACTGAAGTCACAAGAACAAAGTATGTAGGTCAAACTTTATCGCCATCAAAAATTAATCCAAGAGGATTTGACCTCAGCTTGGTTTCTTACCCTAAACGAAGACTCCATTTCCATGGAAAGTAGATCAGAATCAAAAGGAATGAGAGAGAGTTGGAATTCCTCAAAGTTTGTTATCGTACCGTACACTCCCATCTCCTAAAGAAAAAAGATCCAATAAAGACTTGAGTAAGTAGAACATTGTAACACATGTCTGAACTGGTCCGCAAAATAGAAACCAATACATTTAAAAAAACTGACAATCAAACGACCTACCATTCACAAGTACAAAATAAATCGTCCACTTAATTTTCAGACTGAGACATATATCAAACAAGCAATAGGATTCCTAATTGCAATCATATATTCATTTCACTAAATATATGCCAAAATGTCACCTTGAGTTTTTTGTCACATAGCAAACTTCTTCTGGGAACAAAGATGATATGATAATCCTTTCTAAATCCTCCCTTTTGTTCTTCTCTGAAATAGAAAAAACAGTAAATGAGTAATGAGTCTAAAAGATAAAATATAGGATTACACAATCCTTTTTTTAATTAGATATAAATAGAAACATTTACAGATTTGCCAATCTATAAATACACACTATTTAATTTTATAAAGGTCATACAATTACATAAGTAGTAATATTACTGGGGTAATCGGATCAATAATTACTCTTTGTGATTTGTTCTGTTTTCAAAAAGATATGTTTATCTTTTTTAAATAGAACTTTGAGCATTTTTTCAAAAACACCTACTGCAGTAAATTTTGTGCAATCTGCTCCATGAGGCTAAGTTTTGGCCGTGTGACAAAAATGATGTTCTGCACATTGGAGGGAGGGAGGCCTGAGGACCGCAGGGGGAACATCTTTTCCACCTCATGTTCCTGAAATGTTGAAAACAGCATTCACTAAAGGGTCACAGATTGTATGACAATCAACAGACTGACATGTAGTTGTTACAGTTATGTAGATCTAAACACAGAGTTCATATCATATTAGCCATGGTACAAATCAGTGCAATAGTGGGGGTTTTATCAGACAACTTTTTCCAAATTCAATTCAACTGTTTAGTTCTTACTTCTTATTGATGTATGACTGAAAGGCAGATTTCATGGTTTCTTCAAAGTGTTACCTAAAGGATCTGCTCTTTTGAGGTTTAAATCATGTTAAAATCTTATTTTGATCCAGTGTAACAGGTTTTTATTAAATTTCACAAATTATGATCAATTCTAAAAACAAACTTGCATCTGAAATACGTGTCAAAAAACTCAAAACGTATTTCCTGCAATACTTTTTCTGCTAGTTTTTAAAGAAGTGACCCATTTGGCGGCCATTTTGAAATGTTAATTTCTTATGCTCCACGCAACGTCAACATTTTACTTTTTTTGACACTTGATTGGTAATCACAAAAATTATCATGGCATTGCCATTTTCAATTGTAGTAAGTTGATTTTTGCTGTACACGTTTATAATGTTCAAAATTATGAAAACATTATGTGACAAAGTGGGGAATTATACAATATTAGTATTTTATTACTCATTTATATCAGCTGAAGCCCTTTGTTTTTTGATTCGCAAATGTTGAAAAATAACTGGGAAAAAAAATCCAGCAAAAAGAGAAGCACAATGACCCCCCCCCCCCCTTTGATTGACTGTTTTAAGAAAATAAACATATTTTCTTTCAATCTAGTGAATATTGAGAACAGTTCGTCATCAGAACATTTAATGTGAATTGTTCAATCAGCAAATATCGGTGGAAAAATGAGGATTTTGTAAGCTAAAAATCTGAGGTAGGGGTAACCTGAACTGCTTTTGTAATATGAAGACTTTTCCACCTTCACAATTTAGGAGAAAATACTTTTTTTTCAATTTTGTGTAAACATGTATAGATTTCTAATACCACACTTCTTATAAGAAATCACATATGTAAAATTTGTATGTTTGACCGCCTTGGCAGAAATAAACGAGCACATGGACATAATATCATTTTCTTTATATTTTTTATTTTCTCATATTCTCCTTTTTGAAATAAGGTAGGGCTCAAAAAAGTTAGTCAGTAGAAAATTTTGGCTTTTCACAAGATCAGAACCTTTATAATATAATGATATTTCATACTTATATACTGACTCAGATGAATGAAAAAAATGAAATAAACACCTTTCTCAGGACCAAAACATGGTGTGAACAACTGACAGCCATGACATGTGTGTAATAAGAGAAGTGACCAGCTGGAATATTCTAGTTCAAATCACAACTTTTCGATCCCTATCTGTCCAGTAACATCCACACACTAGGGAAATGATTTTCAAAAGGTATCAATATATTTTGTCACTGCTGCATCAAAAATTACACCTTACATAGCTTCTAATAAAAAATGTTTACATGACGCCAAAATCCTGTGACATGTTAAATTTCCCTCCAATTTGATAAACATAAATCACAGTCTGTAAGTCTATATATACTTGCCTTCAACAAGGAGTATTCTGCTATTAGTCCGAATGCTCCAGTCAATGCATCATCCCAAACCAAAGCCTGGAACAGGAAAACAAACCGGAAATTATAATGGTATCCATCCAACAAATGTCCCAGAAGGCAGACATGCCACACGACAGAATGACTAAATGTCGGCTGATGCAAATCTGTAATAGTTAGGGGTGTCACACTATGCCTGATGTGTATCAGAATATATTGCAATACAGAAGGAATGTTTCATAGAAAAAAGGTGCTCAAATTAAAAACAAAATGTGTAAGAATGATATCAAACTGAACCATCACATGGATCACACAGATTTACGATTTTCTGGTAAACTACAATCGACGATTTTGAAATTTCATGCTGGAATAAAGGGCTACCAAGTTTGTTAAAAATTAATAACCTTGACTCATATTCAAGGAAACAGGGGTCAGATATGTTGAAATCTTTAAACAACTTCTGAATAACCAAATGTGTAGGGTGATGATTTTTGGCCAGAAGCATGCTGGAATGAAAGGCTACAAGGTCTGTTCAACTTGATGTCCTTGTTTGACTTTGAAGGTCACAGGGGTCATATGTTTAAGTCCTTTAATAGATTTGTTTGAATCAAACCCTGTTATTTTGTCTGTAGCTGTATTTTAGTCACTTATAAGATTACAAGTGTGAGATTGATACCAGGTGAGCAATTCAGGCCCATACGGCCTCTTTTTATTACGAAACTATCCGATTTTGATCTATAGACAATTTGTAGGTCTAAGCCAGGGAATCATGGGGTCCCCAAGGAGTAAATAAATGTCCGACTATTCAGTTATTGATTTTGGTATTCAGGTTTTGGTCTTCCGAGTAACTGGTTAACTGTTGACAACCCTAGTATATATTTATTGACGTCAATGGAAAGCTTCAATATCTTCTGGAAATGCATTTTATTATTTCTATAGTAACATGTGACATTTACTTCTTTTAGTATATAGTATATACCCATGGCTAGTAGATTTTAGTATATATAGTAAAGTAATCAATGCAAATGGAAAGCTTCAATAAAGTTGTCAGAGTTATTGCCTTCAATATTAAAACTATGTCATGCACTGAATTGGTAATTCCCTAAACTGTCCTTTATTATAAACAGCTTTTCATGTGTTGACATTTTGGTAGCTCTTGATCTATCAAAAGCTTCAAAAAGTGTGCTCAACAAAATCGTTTTTATTATGAACACTAGGTTAAGCTGTTTTCAATCTTGAAAGTGAGTGTATTCAAGCATAACATGAAAAGGAATCTCACAAATGCAAAGCAATTCTGGTAAAGTCAAGGGAATTCCCAACTTGTTTGATTTTTAACATCATCAGTCTTTTTTTTTACACTGATGACTGTCTGCTAAAAAATCATAAAATAAAAAAAAGTCTCTAAATAATGGGCAAGGAAATGGAGAACACAAATTAACTAACAAAAGACAACTTTTTAATGGTATTTTATCAATCTAGACAATTGAAAAAACCTTTTTTCCCAACGCGGTCAGTACAGTTGCTCCTATGATGCATATAGGGACAAGTGAACAACAAGAGGCACAGAGGACCTGTTTCGCTATCCAAATCTTCATGCTATGCAATTGTAAATTTGTATATATTGTTATATAGGGTGGGGATCTCAAATATTGCCATGTAATGACCCTGGGGCAAATTACATAAGAGTGGGGGCTAATTATAACCCAAAGGTCATTCTTCTGGTAGCATGATTGTATTCATCTCTTCATGCCCACCAATTGTGTATCTGATTAAAGGCTTGGGGATCTCAACCATTTTCATAGATATATTGTAACAGGAGAGGAAAATGCACGATCAGACTGGGGCTCAAACCCGGGACCCTCCAAACACTAGAGTGACACGCTCTAATAATTGATCTACCTATCGCTGACGAACAACCAAGCTCAGTCCCACTACATTCCTCCCTCCTTTTTCTAAGTCTTTTCCCCCATAAACACAACTACTTACAACCAGGTTTGGATATTCTCTTGTCAAGAAAACACCAAATGCTTGAAACATGGGTTGACCACAGTTGGCATTGTAACAGGAGGAAAAATGGACCGTGGTTCAAACCCGGGAACCTCCTAACTCTAGACGGATACTCTATCAATTGAGTTACCTGGTCGCCGACGATCCACCCAGTCCAGTTCCACTACAATGTTACCAGGGTTTGAGCAGACCCCCAAAGCCAATCCTCATGGTAGCATATCTGTATTAGATTTGATACCTGAATTACTATTTCATAATGTGGCGTATATGGTGGGGATCTCATTCATATAAGAGTTATGGCCATATTCGGTAATTGTTTATATGGTATAGCGTTGGGGTATGAGCCATTTCCATTTTATAACCCAAATACTGTATGGACAGTGGCATAACCCGAGAAACCAGTTCTTGTACAAATGTATGTGTTGGGAGGGACAGAGGGATTGTCAAGCACCACCCCTTATCTCAAACATGTTATCTTTAGGACGAATTGAACACCTAAGACATGTTTACTCATTTATGCATGATACCTTTGTTCCTGAACATCTATCCAGTGACTCTAGGAGTTCTCTTCTGTAGAAGTCACGCAGTAGACTGAGATTTATCTTTCCAGTCGACAGGTGACCGGCTGCAGACATTTTAACAGGAAGTATCTTTGGGAGCTGTCATTTATGTAAAATTATTTCCAATAAATTATTTGAGATCAAAATAATTCAAATTTCAATCATAAAAATAATATTCAAAATCATTGAATAAAAAATGAAGATTGCAGTTAATTTTGTTCGTTACATTAAGCTTTGTGAGTTTGGTAAGTAAAGATGTAAATTGAAAGTGAAATTGTAAACACAAGTAATATAGGATCCCTCAAAATTAGAAAGACATTTATTTATAATTTAAGTGATATATCTAAAATATCGAGAAACAAAATATACAATGATGTTACACAGATATCGATTTCATAATCTGAAAATGATGACAATGAGCATAAGTATATTTGCTAATGTAAACAATTACTGTGTGGTTTCACTTCCGCACAAGGATACTGAAATGACATCAGGGTCAAACGTCATATAGTGCGCATTACCTGACAATATGGTCATCGAAATACACTTGTTCGTTTACAGAATTTAAGATTTGGATGATACAAGGATATCAATTGTGATTCGTTATCGCGATATCCCTGTAAATATGAGTGTTGTTATTTGCAAATATCGTGACTTTCAGTGAGCGGCGGAGAGATCCCCATTGGCGGTTGTTAGGTCGAGTTGCTGAAGCAGGAGATTGGCAAGATGACGGCCAACGGTAAGTCTATGAAACCAATGACAGCCGATTTAAAATGGAATTCCTTATCTTTCATGTCCATTTATTGTGGTTTACTTTTATTTTCAGAAATAGAAAACCGGCAGAAGCTTTTGCGAGCCGTTAAAAAGGAGGTAAAGTCTTATTTTTCTAATTTTCATTGATGATTCTGAGACGGGGAAAAAAATCAATATTATTATGAGAAGTAAATGGGTAGCCCATACATTCATGTATGTGTGTGCATTCATTGGCTTGTGAATAATTAATCATGATGACCACGCGGATGGCAAGTAGTTGGGATTACATTTAGATCAAGATGTTATTGAGATCTTTGTTCAATTAATATACTTTTTTAATATTGATGTAATTATGAAGTTATTTAGAGGAACATATATAATTAGTGTTTTGTTATCTGTCTCCCACAATGTGAAATAAAGAACGACATATTGATGTTATAAATCATTAAGATGTAGCAAATGAAAATTAAATTGGATGTTGCTGAAACAATTTAAGTGTGTGGCAGGGTTCAATTGTACATAGGATTAAGGTCGCCTTCTAGCTTCGAGCTAGGGGGAATTTCCCTTTAGCTCAGTGGTAGAGCGTCCGACTAGGAACCTTGGGATCGTGGGTTCGATCCCCGGTGGAAGCACACTATTCTCTTTCCTGTTACAAATGGTGTCCGTGGCCCTCCCTGTGGTGACAGGGAGTTAGAACCTGGGTTGTGGTGTTCGAGGGCGAACACATTTAAAAAGGGGGGAGTAGTGTGGCAGGGTTCAATTGTACATAGGATTAAGGTCGCCTTCTAGCTTCGAGCTAGGGGGAATTTCCCTTTAGCTCAGTGGTAGAGCGTCCGACTAGGAACCTGGAGATCGAGGGTTCGATCCCCGGTGGAAGCACACTATTCTCTTTCCTGTTACAAATGGTGTCCGTGGCCCTCCCTGTGGTGACAGGGAGTTAGAACCTGGGTTGTGGTGTTCGAGGGCGAACACATTTAAAAAGGGGGGAGTAGTGTGGCAGGGTTCAATTGTACATAGGATTAAGGTCGCCTTCTAGCTTCGAGCTAGCTCAGTGGTAGAGCGTCCGACTAGGAACCTGGAGATCGAGGGTTCGATCCCCGGTGGAAGCACACTATTCTCTTTCCTGTTACAAGTGTATGTCAACTTTTTATTTCGATTAACCATCAAAAACGTATACGTATTAGGCTGATTTTAGACATCAGGTGATAATTGAAAGTAATTATATGATTTAAAAAAAAATCAAAAAAAATCTTTAACTATATTCGCTGACTCAGTCTGGCATTTACGTTGAACATGAATATACTATAAATAGAGTTTGTGTCAATTAAATGAAAATATGAAATTGAGATAATATTAACCACAACTTAAATTTATATGTTTAACAGCAAGAGAACAACATTTAGTCATTTCCTTTTTCAAATCTAACGTTAAAATTAATTAAAAAATTGTAATTATTCTGTAGCGAATCATAAACAAATAAATTTCAGGGCAAATCTGGAAAGTATTTATTTAAGCTTTAATCACAAGTTAGTATTGTAAACAGTTTGAACTGTAAATGTTGATTAAAATATAACAATACCAGCTATATAACAGAGGGACTGTTTTTGAATGATTATTTAACTATATTGACTGACAACTTCCCAGTCGACCAGTCTAGATACCAACTGAGCTGAAGAGAAAGTCACTAGCACAAAAAAGCTAGACGGCAACTGTGATAATTTATAGTTTCTGAGTATCAGCTTGGAAACAGTTGAGATCTCCACCCAAAAAACATACATAAAATTGCTGGGCATGAAAAATCTAATACAGATATACTTCAAGGATTGGCCTTGGGGTTTGGCATGTTCCCTTGGATCTCATTCGGAGAATATTTTGCCGTGATTGCTTAGATATTCAGGTGAGCAATACAGGCCCTCTGGGCCTCTCGTTGTCTATGTTAGAAGTGTGATGTTGGCAGTAGGAGATATCGTGTTTATCATGGGCGTGTCCAGTCTTCACCACCTCTGTCTGAACAACCTGGTGATGACATAGCGCTGGGTGTAGGAGTTAAAGTGTCTATGACTGGCGTGCCCAGTCTTCACCACCTTTGTCTGATCAACCTGGTGATGACAAAGCGCTGGGTGTAGGAGATAAAGTGTATGACGGGCATGCCCGGTCTTCACCACTTCTGTCTGAACAACCCGGTGATGACATAGCGCTGGGTGTAGGAGATAAAGTGTCTATGACGGGCGTGCCCTGTCTTCACCACCTCTGCCTGATCAACCTGGTGGTGACATAGTGCTGGGTGTAGGAGGTAAAGTGTCTATGACTGGCGTGCCCAGTCTTCACCACCTCTGTCTGAACAACCAGGTGATGACATAGCGCTGGGTGTAGGAGATAAAGTGTCTATGACAGGCGTGCCCTGTCTTCACCACCTCTGCCTGATCAACCTGGTGATGACATAGTGCTGGGTGTAGGAGATAAAGTGTCTATGACAGGCGTGCCCTGTCTTCACCACCTCTGCCTGATCAACCTGGTGATGACATAGTGCTGGGGGTAGGAGATAAAGTGTCAATGACGGGCGTGCCCAGTCTTCTCCACCTCTGTCTGAACAACCTGGTGATGACATAGCGCTGGGTGTAGGAGATAAAGTGTCTCTGACGGGTGTGCCCAGTCTTCACCACCTCTGTCTGATTAACCTGGTGATGACATAGCGCTGGGTGTAGGAGTTAAAGTGTCTCTGACGGGTCTGCCCAGTCTTCACCACCTCTATCTGATTAACCTGGTGATGACATAGCGCTGGGTGTAGGAGATAAAGTGTGTATGACGGGTCTGCCCAGTCTTCACCCCCTCTGTCTGATTAACCTGGTGATGACATAGTGCTGGGTGTAGGAGATAAAGTGTGTATGACGGGTCTGCCCAGTCTTCACCACCTCTGTCTGATTAACCTGGTGATGACATAGAGCTGGGTGTAGGAGATAAAGTGTCTATGACGGGCCTGCCCAGTCTTCACCACCTCTGTCTGAGCAACCTGGTGATAACATAGCGCTGGGTGTCGGAGATAAAGTGTCTATGACGGGAGTGCCCAGTCTTCACCACCTCTGTCTGAACAGCTGGGTGTAGGAGTTAAAGTGTCTATGATGGGTCTGCCCAGTCTTCACCCCCTCTCTCTGAACAACCTGGTCACGACATAGCGCTGGGTGTAGGAGATATAGTGTCTATGAATAGCGCTGGGTGTAGGAGATAAAGTGTTTCACAGCCTCTGTCTGAACAACCTGGTGATGACATAGTGCTGGGTGTAGGAGATATAGTGTCTATGAATAGCGCTGGGTGTAGGAGCTAAAGTGTCTATGACGGGTCTGCCCAGTCTAACCCGCCTCTGTCTGAACAACCTGGTGATAACATAGCGCTGGGTGTAGGAGATAAAGTGTCTGTGACGGGTCTGCCCAGTCTTCACCACCTCTGCCTGATCAACCTGGTGATGACATGGCGCTGGGTGTAGGAGATAAAGTGTGTATGACGGGTCTGCCCAGTCTTCACCACCTCTGTCTGAACAACCTGGTGATAACATAGCGCTGGGTGTAGGAGTTAAAGTGTCTATGACGGGCGTGCCCAGTCTTCAGAACCTCTGTCTGAACAACCTGGTGATAACATAGCGCTGGGTGTAGGAGATAAAGTGTCTATGACGGGCGTGCCCAGTCTTCACAGCCTCTGTCTGAACAACCTGATGATGACATAGCACTGGGTGTAGGCGATATAGTGTCTGACGGGCGTGCCTAGTCTTCACCACCTCTGTCTGAACAACCTGATGATGACATAGAACTGGGTGTAGGCGATATAGTGTCTGACGGGCGTGCGTAGTCTTCACCACCTCTGTCTGAACACCCTGGTGATAACATAGCGCTGGGTGTAGGAGGTAAAGTGTCTCTGACGGGTCTGCCCAGTCTTCCCCACCTCTGTCTGAACAACCTGGTGACTATATAGTGTCTGACGGGCGTGCCTAGTCTTCACCACCGCTGTCTGAACAACCTGGTGATAACAACCTGGTGATGACATAGCGCTGGGTGTAGGAGATAAAGTGTGTATGACGGGTCTGCCCAGTATTCACCACCTCTGTCTGAACAACCTGATGATGACATAGGGCTGGGTGTAGGAGATAAAGTGTCTATGACTGGCGTGCCCAGTCTTCACCACCTCTGTCTGAACAACCTGGTGATGACATAGTGCTGGGTGTAGGAGTTAAAGTGTCTCTGACTGGCGTGCCCAGTCTTCATCACCTCTGTCTGAACAACCTGGTGATAACATAGCGCTGGGTGTAGGAGTTAAAGTGTCTATGACGGGCGTGCCTAGTTTTCCCTTCAACACCTCTGCCTGATCAACCTGGTGATGACATAGCGCTGGGTGTAGGAGGTAAAGTCTCTATGACGGGCGTGCCCAGTCTTCACCGCCTCTGTCTGAACAACCTGATGATGACATAGTGCTGGGTGTAGGAGTTAAAGTGTCTATGATGGGTCTGCCCAGTCTTCACCACCTCTGTCTGAACAACCTGGTGATAACATAGCGCTGGGTGTAGGAGATATAGTGTCTATGACAGGCGTGCCCAGTCTTCACCACCTCTGTCTGAACAACCTGGTGATAACATAGCGCTGGGTGTAGGAGTTAAAGTGTCTATGACGGGCGTGCCCAGTCTTCACCACCTCTGTCTGAACAACCTGGTGATAACATAGC